ATAGCTAATGAGCCATGTCATGATAGACCACCACACAACAGCATTTTACATGTTTTTAAGTAGTAGTTTTTGCGGTGATTTAAAGAATATTTTTAACCCACATACAAGTTTATATTTGTCTTGAAACTGCAAAAGTGATTGTGAGGTAAATAATGAGTAGTTCAACCAAAATCACCCAAAGCCCAAGGTCAGCGTTCATATCGACTACTTTAACGAAAATCAGATATCAAACAGATGCAGGTTTGTACAATAAATAATGCTATTTAAATATTGTATAAATAAATGCAACTATAATATTATTGTACAACAATACCCATTTTAAGAATACTATGCTCATTGAGACCAAAATTGAAAATAGTGAAATAAAGAGTATTATATTAATACTAGAGAGAATATCAGAGTATATTACCGTACATGATGCGTCTGATTTTTTTCCCTTCAAATGTATATTGTGAACAATCTGTAATATAGATTAATCTTTAAATGGTATGGGTAAATAGCACACATATGTACGTTTAATATATAAAAAAAAGAGTCGTTATAGAGCAAAAAGTCTATAAGTAACTAAGCAAAATGAAAAACGTCTTGCAGCTGTCCCCAGTCTCCCCCTACTATTAGCCGTTGACATACTGCTGCTTGGTGGTAGATGCTAACCGCGTTAATCGTAGCCTAGCAAACAACTCCATGCTACCAAAACCTTTCAAACACACCTAAGAAAAGATCAAACACCTGTCTTAAAACATACTCTAATCTATGCCTTTAGGATAATACATTAGTCACAACTGAAGCTACTAAAAGCAGGACACTATGGTGCAAGAAAGTGAACCGTTAGAAACAGTTATAATGTTTTGCTAGCAGGTACATCTCACTTCTGATCGACAACCTACCTGTTAAACACATCAATGTCTTCTCTGTATCTCCTAATCTATGTTTGACAGAGACAATCTATGCAAATAGGTTATTTACTGCCTTCAAAGTGTAGGGGAACAATAGCCCGGCTGTCAATGAGGTCTTTGTCCGCAGCACAGGTGCAACTGATGAGAAGCGGGCTGCAAACAGGACGATACCATTATTACCCAAAATTACTAGTTAAAATATTGTGTGCAAATGTAACATTTGACCACACAATGGAGACACATTTGGGCGCCACAGAAGAAATAAAGCCGGATGTGACTCTCTTTAAACTTTAATCCGCTAAAAAAATCTGAATTTACAGCACATACAAAAGGTTTTTAATCTACATCAAGATAACCAAAACATTTCACCAATTTGAATGAATTTAACTTTACGACGTAACGGAAATTGGCACCGTGCAGAAACAAAAAAACCTACGTATTTTACTCCTATCTGTGTTAATGAATAATAAAACAGTGTTATAAAAGTACTCACTTGCAATAAAGGTGCGGGAAAGTGTCGAAGGTAGTGTATGAAGTGAGCTCTGCTTCCTCTTCCCTTCCGTTTAAACCTTCCTCTCTGCACTCACTTGATGGAGCTAGAAAAAGGTGGAGTCATCTGAACTGAGAGCTGGTCGCCTAATAAGGACGTAACCAAGTGACTGTATCAAATGTCAATCATTACCAATATATCCATGAAGAAACAAGTTGTTATATATTTTTATCACCCTCTTTATTTGAGAATGGTTTGGTCTGATGTTGAATGGACAAACAATCCAACAAAAATATTTGTGTTTACTTAAAATGTCACACACTTTTACCTTCACTTTTCAATATGGCACCACTATTAAATATAACCACATTTGTATTTGACAAATACTTTACTTAAAATCTGACTTTTGAGTATTTTTTACTAATTCATTTATTATTTTGGTTGCTTTTGTTTCACTCTGTATGTGAACATGTGTATCCCTGATGTCAACGTTGTATGTGTATGTATGATGTGCTTATGTTTTCTTGAATAAGAAACGAATTCTGAAAATCATCTCCAATATAAAATCAATCATTTGCATCTTCAGTCTAACAGGTTCAGCTTTGACTTTACAGCTGATGCTTATTCAGACCAATATAAGTGTTAATTATGCTGCTTCTGATAAGGGCCTGTTTGGTATATAAAATGGATAATATACACTCCATTTTTGGTCTACAGCAAAGAGGCAGGACAAACATATATATACCCAAACAATCATTTAAATCAATGTATATATTCTTAATATTTGCGAAAAATAATACACTAAAAGCACACGAAAGATATCTTCCTTAACCTTGTATTTCTTTTTACAGCCTTTATCTTCCACTGTATAACAACGAGATGATTTATACCAAACGGTTATTCAGGCTTTGAATCGATAAATGACATAATATGATCCCCAATAAAGATGAAGATATGCTTGTGCGTGTCTGTCAAACAGCACCGACAAGATGTTTCACATTTGACACAGTGTAAACTCTGCTCAGTCAACTTGACATTTTGTTAAATATTATCTAATGAGGTAAAGTGATCACACACTCACTACCCTTTCAAATGAGATGCAAACTCAAATAATGTTGATGAAGTTCTCCTGAGGCGGAGTTATAATAAATACACAAAGATATAACAGAGAGAATGGAGGATCTGTATTGAGTCTGTAGCATCAGACACCTGCTTTGCCTGCGTGATCATAAATCATCCAGCTGTATGGTGGTAAACTCTCCTCCTTTAAGCGCTAGCCTCTCTTTTACACTACCTGAGGCCTGTTGGATGAATGTTAAACCTGATGAACAACTTAACCATTAGTTATCTGTTTGAACAGTTAAATAATGGCAGATTACAGAACAAAAATGTCTCTTTGTGGTAACCAAAACAAAAGTGAAATTAACAGTAAAATGCTTGGAATGTGTCAAGTTTTGTCTACCTAAAATATATTTGTGTCTTATTTTTTGCTTTGTTTTACCTCAAATGAGCACTGATTATGAAAACATATATTAACAGTTGGATATAAAGGTGTATCCCAGATCTACAGCTACAACTGTTTCACTAAACGTGCTGGCAGGATGCTTTTTGAGTCGCAATCAAAAGTGACAAAATAAGCCTGACTGGTTGCACTTCCTCCTTTTGCACATCTTCAGGCAATTGCAGTAACACAAAGTAGAGAGCAAAGGCTGCAGCAGGACGTATCTGTTATCCATGCTTCCTGTTAATGTTGTCACTGTTTTTTTTAATCTTCTATTGCACATAATGACAGTTCAGATATTTTGGCAAGATCACACGTACTTGTTTGTATGTTGACTCGTTTTTTAAAACAGGGGCTCTTACATACCTTATTATTGAGTTTTGCAAGCTTATTCAACACTTAACCGGAGTTTAGTTTATTAGTTTAGTGCCATAGTCCTCTGCTTTCTCCTCGACTATATATGCTTTTTATTTTAAAACAATTGTTAGTTTCCTTCACATACATAAAAAAAAGCAATCCAATTACAAATGAATAATGTAAATCATACATTTAAATAGATCAAATGTAACACAGTGGATAAAAAGGAAACAGAAACTAAAACATGCAGGCAGAGCCAAACAGCAGGGACAACAAAATAAAACTGTAAATGCTAGATTTTAAGCTACTTTCTTCAAATATATAGCAGTATTTAAAGCATTGATACCAAATTGCTACCAAAAAAATGTATCTATATCACCTGCTGGGCCAAAGAGTATTCCTCTGACGACAATATACTGAACATAGATAGTCTCATAATTACAGTCATGGTGACCCCAAGTGGATATATTGGGTTACTGCAACTTTTCACCTCTTTCTTTTCCCCCCCCATGTCCATTTTTCTGAAGTTTCCAGAAAGCACAGAGTAGTGTAAAGATATGATGCAAAACGTATAAAATAATATTTCAACAAAATATACAGATATTAACATGTATTCATATGTGTACATACATACATTATAAAACATATCATAATCAGGTGGTTTTTAAGACTTCTTCCGATCACACATTTGATATATGTATGTAATCAAACATTAAGCAATACATTTTTCACTTTCTCTCTTTTCTACATGCCAACCAAATAAAGTCAAATGCAATCAAGATAAGAGGCAAATCATCTGTGCTTTTTCCGACGACAGGAATTGTTTTTGGGACTACCATATTGCCTTACTTTACATTACATTAGATTGCATTTAGCTGACGCTTTTATCCAAAGCGACTTACTATTTAATAAATGATAAATGATTATTCATAACAAATATGACTGATGTGTGATTATTATTCATGCTATACTGATATAGGGCTAAGTAAGCAATCAATCCTGCAAATGAACCCTTACAGTAGTTGTTCAATATATTTATTCAGACAATGTGAGTAGAAATACAGAAATTCTGCTCCCACCTAAGGCCAACGTTGCAATATTACAACATTTCCCTAAAAACTTACCAAAACGTAAACATTTTTAAAACTCTTTCATTTCTGCTCCAGAGGCTCCCTACAAATACCGCCGCCGATGGGAATACATTGCAATCAGTTGAAAGCTCTTTGCGTCCGTTTATGAAGCTGAAGGAGCCTCGGCGCGTCACAACTGGACGCCACGGGACCCTGACCAAGCGTCGCTCCTGGACGCTTAGGGAGTGAGAGTGTGTTGCCCTACAACAACACCTGAAAGGTCAAAAAACAAACAGGGCTAGACAGCTTCTTTTTGCAGGTTGTGGTACATTTACACAGCAGAGAAACAGACACCCTCTTCATTGTTATGGCATCTATTCACCTTTAAGACAGAGGGAACATTCAGGGCAGCTTTCATTTGAACACTAACCCCCCAGGGCAACAGGAGATACACCAATTTGAGTCAAACATGCAGGTTTTGCTCATGATTTGAATGTATTTTTGGATTATGCATTTCGGAGACAAGAGTTTTTTAAGTTCTTGAAAATATCTTTAAAAAGGCCAAGAATGTAAATGACATGTTATTGAGAGTTCACAAAAAAAGAGCAGCATCGACTGCCAAACATCCAGAAATATTTGTGGGATCATTCCTCTCCTTCGGTCCTATATGTGGCTTCAGAGGAGGGGTGGTTTTCTCAGGACCTTTAACAGAGGGCTGTCCTTCAATGGGACTGGCTGTCTTCGTCTACAGGATGAGAAGGAAAGAAAAGAAATGGAAAAACAGGAGGGGCTGAGTTGGGGGGCTTTTCCAGCCCTTCTACTCTTTCAATTTATAGGTCCTCAACACACACACCCCCACACAGGCGGACAGAGCCCAGAAGGCAAAGTCAGGATGTGACATCATCTGCAGGAAGAGAAGCCAAACAACTTTTTCTCTCTTGTCTGTGAGTGAAGTTGGAGCCGCTCGGTCTGGAGAGGGAGAGGATCCAGAGGAGCTCGAAGGGGGCAGATCAGCTGGAGCTGTCCTGCAGGGAGTCTAAAGTCCAGGGCTCCGACGCCTGAATCCTCCCTGAACTTCCCACCACATTCCTCCGATGTAGGATTGAAGCCAGGTACAGTGCAGACAGCTTTTTCCATTCTCTATTGTTTTTGATCCGCCTCTTCCTTTGTTTCTGCTTACTTGTAACTTTCTCTTCTTTCTCATTTGCATTTCTGTTTCTTGAGAGGGATTGAGTTGTGTCTGCTGGAGCAAAATCCTGAAAAACTCAGGAAAGTATGTCAACAGTGCGTGATCAGACATGCTTCAGTCACAGGCTGTTGAGGTATGCAGGGAGGGAGATACGTAAAGTGATCAAAAGAAGTCACTCATGCTGTCACTTTTTGTACAAACCTATAATGTGTTCAGTACAAAAAGTGTCCAGGTTTAATTTTCTGTCTGAAACTGTGCCTCCCTGAAAGGAGTGCTGAATGACACTGTAACTAAGATCTCTCCTCAAGCTCTTTTGTTATGCACACATTAAGAGCTATCTCATGACCACGTATTCATGCTCCCCCAGTGGTGAGTATTCAACTGAGATCAGACACACTGTGAAAGCTAGTGGAAAGAAAAGTACTCTACTCAAATATCAAATGCTGCTTGCTTTTCAAATCACTGCTATTTTCTTCAAATAATAAGAGTAACCAGAGCCCAATGGTCACAGGACACTTTTGCTTTTGTTTTCTCTTCGAAGCACAAAGGGACTTTTCATTGCACAACTCTTTTGCAATACCAACAAATGAACCTTTAACCAATTAAAACCATAAGCTTGACATGTGAGGAGTTTGTGGAGTTTGGGTTGTCTGAACTGAGGTCAAAAGAAATTCACAACAAACCCGAGTGTCAGTGCTGCTAAGTCTATCACTGAAGCAGAGACAGAAACTTCTGCTTATCTCAGTCACAGAGAAACAGCCACAGGAAACACTGAGACCGGCAGCAGAAAAAAGTAGGACACAAATGCGGATATAGTATCATGTTGCAACCACAGTCACTTGAATGTGACTGTGGTGTCAATTATGTGGTGAAAAATATGAAACAGTTCTAAATAACCGAATGGAAACAAACAACTGAGTGGAGTGTAAAACAATTAAATGTAACCCTTTGACCCTGAATGTATTACTAAAAAACCGCCCACCTTATTTTCCTATACTAATCTATATTCAAACATTATCTTTTACAATCATAACAATACAGGCTGTGAATTACATAATATTTAGTGAGGGCATGCTCCCAAACCATGTGTATCATCTGCAGGGGCGCTGCCATGAAAAGATAATCACATTGGTTACTTAAACATTTTTTTCTTAATGTTCTAAAATAGTTTGTCAGTCACGGGCCCTTAGAATCGTCCTAACTTTCCACCCCCTTACGGCGCCCCTGATCATCAGCCAGATGGTAAATAGCTATTGGAAAAAAACTAAATCACTTTTCAATAATATTTTGGGTGTCTTTTTAATACCAAAACTAGTTTCCAAAACGGGGAACCGACACTGTGCTTTCCATTAGTTGTCACACAGCAAACCTCAAGTTTCTTTATTTTCATCTGTCATGATCTGTGTCTGAGCAGAGCATTAACTGTGGACTCTTTTCTCTCATGCTGCTCTTTAGAAATGGTTGTCGCAGCATGCCATTCATTTTCTAAATTATGCTTGACCTTAGTGACCTGAGATTTTACAACATCCGATTGAAACTGTTGCTATTTTTTTCCATGGATGCCATTGAAAGTCTTCTTGGTCACACCGAGCAGTGGATGCAATAATTGCACATTTGAGATGGGTCACAGTGTTTTGTGCTGCAGCATACAGTATGAGTCATCTCTCAATGATCACTTGCAAATGTTTGGAAAATGTATGATGTCACACTTACTTCACGGTTTGTTTGGCCTCTTTGAAAACAATCTGACAATGATATGTTTGCTTTGTTGTTAGACCTTGGTTGTTTCGGTCATCTGCCATTTGTGGTCACTCTGACCTGAAGCACTGGATTGACAGGAAATTAAAAGGCCTCTGACTTCTTATGTTGTTCTTCTTCTTCACAGCAAACAACTGCTCCCTGCAATCTTTACATGACAGACGCTGACCTCCCGTGACCTGATTTCCGAGTCTGGTTTCCATCTCTCAGGAAGGTCCCTCTTTATCCTCAAAAACTGCTTGTTATTCTGGAGAGCTCATTCTCCCCTTATCTGAGGGGAGTCAATGGCGTTGTGCCTTGGACAAGTGTTCAGCAAAGACAAGACATTCAGGCCCAGGAAGAGGTTTGAACCGGGCACCCAGCGCTTTGAACTCCACAAGAAGGCCCAGGCCTCGCTCAAGTCCGGCTTAGACCTGAGGAAAGTGGTCCAGCTGCCAGAGGGAGAGAACATCAGCGACTGGGTCGCAGTTCATGTGGTGGATTTCTTCAACAGGATCAACCTGATCTATGGCACGGTGAGCGAATACTGCTCCGAGCGCACGTGTCCCATCATGTCTGGCGGGCTGAGGTACGAGTACAGGTGGCAGGACGGTGGCGACTACAAGAAACCCACCAAGCTGCCCGCGCTCAAGTACATGAACCTGCTGATGGACTGGATAGAGTCGCTCATCAATAATGAAGACATCTTCCCCACCAGAGTAGGTGTGTGAGGAGTCTACAAATGAAGGCTATTATTGAGTGTGTAACATAATACATGACTGATTGCTGCCGGCACTGCATCAATGCTGTTCCCCTTCATTAACATCTCACATGGGACGACGAGTTCAAGCAGAGGTTAATTAAACAATGAGCTTGACATTTAGAGGAGATTGCATGTGCGCTTCAGGTGGTATTTTATCTCAGCACCAGATTTGACAATTAGCATAATGGAGGAGAGAATCAGAAAGGTCTCTGCATGGAGTTTACACGACTTTCCTCAGGGAGTTCTGGTTTCCACTACTGTCAATAGACCAGAAATCAAGTCAAAAGAATAAGTCAAAATTGCCCAACTCTCTAAATGGCTATGCTATATGCGCAATTTTAAAAGGGTGTTTCCCTAGAATTTACCCAGTGTGTACATGTATGTGCACAATTCATGAGCCTCAGCAGGGATAAATAGGGACAGAAAATGAGTGGATAGAGAAACAGAACAATGGCTACCAAACTGTTTTTGTCTGGCAAACCACACAGCCCTTCTATAGGTGCGATAACTTAAAGGATTTGTTTGAGTTTTTCACTGTTCAGAAAACATAGTGGTTTAAGTCGCTTCATGACACATCAATCCTACAAAGTGATCCTTAAATGTGTTATTTTAGGCATGGTGCCTTTCTTTTCAACCACATGAAGGGGCAACAAATAGACTTTTTTCCCAATAAAAAAAGTCACCATTGTAACCATGTTGTAACCATTCAGAAAGAATTTTCTCCAGGTTTTGCACAACATTTGAAAATGATCCACTGACACAAATTCGTCATCATATCGTGTTACTTTTCCTCGAAAACACATTTTGTCTTTTTGTTAGTTTATTTTTTTTCAACCAAATAATAATCTCTTTTTTGTCAAATAACTGCAGAAGTACAATGGCTCTACATTAAATAACCATTAATGTAAAAGAGTGTTTCAGCTAAAAGAGGCTTTTATCAGTTTTCTATGACACTCTATGGCACCTGTACTGTAGGAGTAACTGGCGTCAAGCAAGTGACAAATCTGTAATTATACATTTTATATCAAAAAAGGTGAGTATAAAATACAGGTTCTATCTGTTTTCTTTTATATCCACTTCTATCGAACCAGTAATGGAAAATAGGCTGTGTCAGGATAACTTTTTGTCACATGAATACATTGTCCATGAAAATCAGATTTCATTAAGACACTGCCTATAGCACTCAATGACTGATGCTGTAACTGTTGAAGGGAAATCACATTACTTACAGAATATAACATCTGCTACATTTTAACTTAATGGTGTAGAAATCGATGACATGTTTGATTTACATTCAATTAAACAATCTCTCAAGTGTGTAACACATCTCTCCTTTCTTCACAACAGGTGTACCTTTCCCAAAGAACTTCCAGCAGGTGTGCAAGAAGATCCTGAGCCGTCTCTTCCGGGTGTTTGTGCATGTTTACATCCATCACTTTGACAGCATCTGCAGCATGGGCGCAGAGGCCCACATCAATACCTGCTACAAGCACTACTACTACTTCATCTCAGAGTTCAACCTCATTGATCACTCTGAACTGGAGCCGCTGGTGAGACAAAAGAGCAACCTTATTATAATGTGTGAGGGTGACGACAGGGAGCAGCAGAAAGAGGATCAGATGGATGATTCAAGTTGGGAGGGCTGTCAGTGTCACCGGCCACCTTGCCATTGATCAATTAATGTGCAGCTTGTTGGATGATGTTTAGATTTATCCTAATCTCAGTGTGTTTCCCCAGCTTGTGCACATGCGGGCAAAAGGAAAACAAACGAAATGTTTTGGTCTGAAACACATAGACTTCCTCTTCTTGGATTACAGTAATTTTGCATTTGAAACTGATTGTTTTCAGATTTTTCTTAATGAAAAATATGACCTACTTTATAGCAAATGTTTTTATTTGAAGCAAAATGTCTTAAAAGAAAAGTAGCTGACTTTGTGCAGTCATGTAATGAGGTTTTATTATTGGTTTCCTTTTGTCCACAAATCTACCTCCATCACAAATGAGCAAATAAAGCATTGTGCTCTAAGCTTCAATAAAAGGCTTCAGTTATCGTCATTATGGAGCGTGGGCTGTGTAATTCCATCTCAGAGGGAAACAGGGATGAGAAATTGATGTACCACACTACTACAGAAAATATTTAATGGTAATACTCTGTTTTATCCGTCTGTAGCACGTACTGTAATGCAGCTCTGCAGTTGTTGCAATCACAATAACTAATAATGTTAATTAAAAGAGTATATTGAACTTCATAACAATCATTGATCTTATATTGTACAGTATTAATGTGATGTGTAAACATGTCCTTTTCTTTTCTTTTCTTTTCAGAAGGAGATGACAGAGAAGATATGCAACTAAATAAAACCAAATGGACAAAATGAGTTTACATTTGCACGTTATCTGAGCCCCGTTAGAAATCGTCTGCATCAAAAAATCTCTAAACAATGAACAATTTTACATAAAGTTGTATGAGTAGTTTTTAAGCTACTCAGAGTATCAACTTAATACCACACTTCTTCACATGGTGGCCTTGTACCAAGAGATTTTTACTTACAGTAATGTGGTGTTTGATGACATTATTTTAGGACTTTGTGTTTTGGTTTATAATACATTTCATGTACTAATTTTGTTTCCGTCCTGTGCATGTATGTTAATGTTTCGCCTTTTTAAATACAGTGTTGGATCTTGTTTTGTTGAATGAATGTTTGTATTTTATGTGATGTCTTTTAAATACTTTGAACATAAAGCAGCCTAAAAACAGTAAAAGGTTTTGAAAATGTGTGTGTTTTTTTTTTAACCGCACCACAAAAATGTGTACAAATCATTGAGTTAAGATTTAGTTTTTAGCCTGTCATCATCAGTCAACTACGAAATTGAAATTATATCAAAAGGAAATGTATTCTCATACATTACATTACATTATATTAGCTGACGCTTTTATCCAAAGCGACTTACAATAAGATACTTTCTTTAACGGTTTAGTTCTAGGTCTATATTCTGGTTTAAACCAAGAATATACCACATAAGTGAAGACAAGTATAAACTATAAAAACATAATAATGATGAAAGGTTGTGGGTTTGTGCCATGAGTCGTAATTCCTAAATACTGCTGACCTGCCAAACCGCATTTGTAAATAAATGCCACATCATGCACACAAAATCCCCATTACGTCACTGATGTATTAAAAGAACTCGTACGTGGATTGGGGTGCGGCGGGCAGTCAAGCGAGGTGACGTAGAAGTATTGTCCACCAATGAGAGAAGCGGATCTTCAGAAAGGGGCGGGGAATACATCTGCTGGTGTTATTTCCCGTCCTGCGCGTCACTGCTGTGTGTTTGATGGATGTCAGCTAGCGATGGATGCTTACATCAGCTGTGAGACGCTTTGACAGGCGGGATTCGGCTGGTTTGGACACAGAGGGCAGGTGAGGAGGGTTTTATAGCATGTATGTTTTCGTTTTAACTAAAACTTCACTGTTTTTTAAAAATTACAAACTATTGAATTAGCGTAAATTGTATAGAAAACCTAGCTTAGCACCTACTAGCTATCCCCAGCTAATGACAATAACACCGGGTTAAACAAAGAGTCAGCGGTATACGCTAACTCTAGCTTACATGATGGTATTGTTAATGTTGGACGCATTGTTTTCTCTTGTTAAGGGTGTCTATATGAGTAACAACAGTGCTAATGTTAAGGAGGTTAACAACGTGGCTGCATTGCTGGCTGTCGGTAAACACTTGATAACTAACATTACCGAATTTTAGGACATAAACAGTAAGCGAAATATGTAAGTCCTATTACTTCTAGCTTTTATCACGTAGGATATAAAATTTAAAAAAGCGAACAGAAGACTAATGCATATATTTTACTTGTTAGAAAGCTAAAGCTAATCTACATTAACTTTATTATGTTATTGTCTAACCTCGAACAAACCAAAACAACATTTTAACAGAAAGGGGAAACCGTTTTTTTCCTTTTCATTGATCAAATTCTCTGACTTCCCACCAGTTTTAAACTACTTTTTTCATCGTGTACACTAAATATCTTTGTCTCTTCTGATGTAGGCTGTTCCAGACTAACTCAGTGTTTGTGATGTGCTCTCAGTTGGCAGACATGGTGAGGCACAGCATGATGACAGAGTTGCAAACCTTCCAGCACTCTCTCCAGGTAAGACACTTTCAGCTTTGAACACTAGTGCTTTCTCAACATTTAACTTCCTCCAACATGTGATGGAAACTATCAAGTTTCCAGGAAGTCTTTTTACACACAAGGTTATCAAGGTTATCAACTTTACCGAAATATTGAAGTTTCATAATTCTCTATGAGTCATGCACTCGGTCATATCCAGGGTGAGATAAGGCATGTGTCTTCCTGTATTCTCAACAGCTCACTGTGTTGGCAGGTTGCCACAGGTGAAAAGATAAGATTAGATAGTTGGAATAGTAGTTATTTTTCCGATAATGACAGTATGTCACTTTTGTCAGAGAAGATGTGTTAGTGGAAAACGTTTTCAAAGTTTAACAGTGAAAACAGTCAGAGAATAATGTATTTCTTTGTGTGTTTTCTCCACTGTACCACCATGGATCTCTCTGGCTTCACTCTCACTTTCCCCTCCCTCTCTCCCCCCTATCATGCGGCCTCTTCTCTGTGTTTCAGGGTAACTCCCTGGCTGTGGGCCAAGTGGGGCAGAGCTGTGAGGCAGCTCAGGAGAACGGGGTCGTTTCAGAGCAGAGACAGCCCCTCTCCCAGGGCCCAGCAGGTATGACAGCGCTATGGTTCAGAACAGCTCTGGAACTACTGAAACGAATGGTGCATACAGTAACCCACTGGCAAAGTCGGTGCTGTTTTTACTCATTTGCATGCACTTCTTTTGTGTTGCTACAGAAATTGAGAAAAGCCAGCCGGTGAATATCCCAGATGCAGCTAAAAGAAAGAAGAAGAAAAGAACCAGAGCGACAGACAGCTCCACAGGCACTTTTGAGGGTAATGAAGCTGATAATATTGTAACACGTACAAAAAAACATAACACAAACTCCTTCTGCAGTCTTATATGTGACTCTTTCTTCAGATCTCTACAAACTGACAGATGAGGTGCTCGGTCGGGGGGCTTTTGCTAAAGTTCAGGGATGCATAAGTCTGCAGAATGGACATGAGTTTGCTGTGAAGGTGAGTGAGAATATTCTGTTTGTAACAAAGTCAGACATTTTTTTTTTCCCTTTTTAGGATTTCGAAAATTCTTAGACGGCTCTTTGTATGCTCTTTCTGTTTTTGTTGTCCTGTGTTTTTATTGTGTTATGGATGTGTCCTGCTCTTCCATAATAACACAACCTTTATCAAATTCTGGCAACCTACACACAGAATCTCTTGTTAAGGAATATGTTAAGTAAATAATAAGATTAGATAAGCCTGTGTTGTTACCTTTCAATACCTAAAATAGGCAAATGTTCTTGGTACTATAACCTTTCATACCACAGCAATGACCGCAGTGTTTCCGCCAGACCAGGGCTGAGAGGGCGTCCACCCCATCACTACGTATTAGTGATGGGAATTCCGGATCATTTGGCTCGGCTCACTAAGAAGAGCCGGCTCTTTCGGCTCCTAAGCGGCTCTTCATTTTACCACAGTTTACCACGGAGCCTCAGTTTCGCCGCTGCGAGGCTCCGGCGCTCGCAGTTCACGCGCGTGCTCCACTAGCACCCCCCGTCAAGGCTCGCCGGCAGTACACTTTCCGTCACAGGAACACTCTTTGCTGGCGGCGAAAATAATCCCACCAGACTCCTTTGTCCCTCCAACAGAGGGATGTCCCTGTCCTTTTTCCTTTTCGTCATTTCAAGCGATAAAAACTTGATCTTCTCTCGAATTATTAATTTTTTTGGACGCCCTCGGCTCGAGTTCAGGGCGTTCCGAGTTTAAGGGAGTCAAATGACGCTGAAACAGCTGAATGGCCGTATTCAGTTAAAACCTTATTGGTGATTAAAGGTGGGGTAGGTAATTTTGGAGAAACCAGCTCGAGGGCGCTAGAATTTGAAAATACACAGCCGGAACAAATCTGCCACTTCCTTACAGAGCCCCTCCTCCAACACACACGAACGCGCACATGACCAATGAGGGCACGAGATAAGTTTGTGCACAGATGGAAGGCTGACAGGCAGGTAGGCCATCCAGTTATTTTAGCCGGGCCGGCTAAAATGATTGGTCGTGCTTTTTACAGTACTACGGCTTCCACAGATGACATTTTTTAATGGATTTTTTGTCAAAGCACTTAAGATATTCATTGCTATCGGGATGTTAAGAGCATTCCATGGAATATAACAAAAAGTGTATCTCGAGCCGGTTTCTCAAACTTACATACCCCACCTTTAAGTTAATAAAGTTTGTTTTGTTTAAATCTATATAGAAAAATTGAAATATATAATATAGTTATTAATGTGGAAAGACAGTATGACAAAATAGCATAGTATGACACAGTAGAGTATAGCATAGATAAAGTAAATCATGCCTGGGTTTATGCTAAGACTTTAAAAAAAAAAAGTAATGTTTTGTTTTGTGTTTCAAAGATTATAGAAAAGAGTGCAGGGCACAGTCGCAGCAGAGTCTTTAGAGAAGTGGAGACTCTCTACCAGTGTCAAGGAAACAAGTGAGTGCATTTTGTATATATTTTTAACCTACATTACAAAACAACATAGAATGAAACATATTCTAATATTTGTAAATATCTTGATTCAGAAACATTTTGGAATTGATCCAGTTCTTCGAGGACAACTCCTGCTTTTATTTGGTGTTTGAAAAGCTGTGTGGTGGTAAGTGTAAATAAATAGCTCAACAATTACATCTGTGTACTCTGGGCTCTTATGATTTATTACAAACACACGGCTTGTCTTCTCTCCATTAAGGCTCCATTCTGACACACATCCAGAACAGGAAGTACTTTGACGAGCTGGAGGCCAGTAAGGTCGTCAGGGACATTGCCCTAGCTCTGGACTTCCTACACACTAAAGGTTTGCCGACATCCAATCAGCTTTCCTGTGAAAGTCCAAAGAGACAAGCTGCAGACTTCTATTTTTCATTTTGTCATGGTAACAATGTTCTTTTCTGCAGGCATTGCCCATAGAGACCTTAAGCTAGAGAACATCCTTTGTGAATACACCGATCGAGTAAGTGGCTTTTTTAAATGACAGGCAGCTATCAGAAGGACATGAGTTGTTGCTAGAGGAATAAGATTATCATGTTTTTTTCCTCAGGTGTCCCCAGTAAAGATCTGTGATTTTGACTTGGGGAGTGGAGTGAAGCTCAGCAGTGCCTGTACCCCCATCACCACTCCAGAGCTCACCACCCCGGTAACAGTCTAGTTTTTTAATTCATAGCACACACACACACACACACACACACACACACACACACACACACACACACACACACGCACACGCACACGCACACGCACGCACACACACACGCACACACGCACACACACATATATTTCAAATACAATGAACTCAAATAGCTTTACAAAAACATTTTAAGAAATGACATCTAAAAACAGTAATTAAAAGCCAAGTGATAACACAATTAAAATGGGTTGAATAAGAATAAGACAAGAATAAAAGCAACAGTGCAGTGTAGGATATGAATAGTTATTTGATGTAATGAGACACAGCAACAAAAAGGAAAAAGTCTTCAGCGTTGATCTAAAAGAAGTAAGAGTTTAAGCCGTTTTCTGATAGTTTAGTCCAGATATATGGAGCACAATAACTCACCGATGATT